AAATCTATATTATGAAATGATAAAGTGTTCATTTTATTCATATAAATCAAATCAAATATCTGCAAAACTTAACCCTTTTAAATTTTACAGTCAAATCTGGCACATCATCTGTATGGTATTTATTTATATTTGGGTCATATCATAAATATTGATTAAATGTAAACTTAATACTTAATATACAAAGAACACTATCTACAAGGGCTGACAATACCGCAGGCAGCTAAATTTCGTTAATTTATCTATCAATATCGATAGAACGGGAGTTAGATTCGCTGCTCCATATTATCTTCCCGTTCCAAGATTTTTAACGAGATCGCCAAAGGTTCCATAACCTATAAAATTTAAATTTATTTAGAGAATATCATTGTATTACTGTTGCATACTCTTTAACAAAAAAACATTCCTCTTGCCTAAACATTGCAAATCCAATTTGATCACATACTTGTTCTACTTCTGAAAACTTTTCAGAAAGCATCTTATCTATTAATTTCATGGATTGGTAATAAGAATTCCATCTTGTCTTGTTGGGAGCTATTAAATATCTTCCCAATTTCTCCAATAAAATATCCGCCATTTTTGACGACATATTTTGTTTATTAACTAAAGCAAAACATTTTGCAAAAGTGGATCTAGATATTCGTTTATAATTGAGATCACTATCTGCCATCTCCGCATCTGTTGTTGCAATAAGGTTAAGATTATGGAAACAACAACGTTGATGTTTTGGTGGGCTGATAGTAGGAATAATTGGGTCATCAACGGATAATATGTCATCCAAATTTATCAATTCCATATCCTCACTACTATCTTCTTCATTTTCTCCAAAAACTCTAGAAAAAATTAATTAATTTAAATATTTTTTGCTAAATATAAATATTACTTAAATGCCTTGACAAAGTTGGTTCCATTGTCAGTCACCATCTTCACTACCTTATTATGAATTTTATAGAACTTGTGGATACCCATGATTTCGTTGGCCAAAACATCATATGTTTGCCTCCCAATTATCCTCCTCAGTGCCAAAGCGGATGACCTTCTCTTGAGGGTTAACGGATCCAGCCAATGTGCAGTAAGTCCAATAAAAGCCCTAATAAAATAAACATTATAAAATTCATATAAATATAATATACCTTCGACGACCACTCCAACAATCAGCAGTGGTGCATACATAAAAAACTTCAGACAAATCTCTTATAAGATTTGTCGTCATATAAGAGAAGGAAATAGATATCCTGTTGCCCAGTGTTTGGCGACAAATAATTTTTGTCGCAGGAGAAAAAGTTTTAATCATTTTTTCAAATGAAGGATCATCAACCAGAGACAGTGGTTGGAAGGTGTCAATAATAAAATCCATGATAAACTTGTCTGCTGTTTTTTGCGATACAGCTGGAATGTTTAGATTGTTAAAATTTAATTTAGATTGTCTGGATTTGCAATCAGAACCACTTTGGTTTTGCAGTGATATATTTTTTTGTGTAGAGAATTCGTTTAGGTGTTTGGTAAATTTTTAAATTCACTGTGCTTTTTCTTTATAAATGAAAAAAATAGTATGTATCAAAGTTGGATGAAAATAACTTCTCCTGAATCAAATTTCATTTTTAAAATTTTATATGGAAATTTAAAGTTAAAAAAAAAACAATGTACAGGCTGAATGAAAAACCTATATAAACAAAAAAATGATAAAGGGTTCAACACAAATTTTGTTAAACATATTAAAGTATATTATTTAATTTATATATGGTTAAAAAAGGTTCATGTAGGTTATTTTAAATTTTAAGTTTACAATATTGTCTTTGTCTATCATTATTAAAAGTTTCCCAAGATGATATGGGCTAAAGATTTTGATAAAATATTTTCCTATATATGAATATAATTAGCTTTTTGGCATTTAAGAACTATGGATTAAGGGTTCAACAAATTTTGTTAAACATATTAAAGTATGTTTTATTAGTGGTTAAAAGGGGGTAGGTTATCTTAAAAATTTAAGTTTACAATATTGTCTATCAATATTAAAAGTTGCCCAAGATGATATGGGACAAAGATTTTGATAAAGTATTTTCCTATTATGAATATAATGAGGCTTTTTGGCATTTAAGAAGTTATGGACTGAGTTAAATGATACAAAAAATACTTTCAATTCAAAATATATTATTAAAAAAAGTCCTAAAAATGTTGTCAAGAGGATTATATAATCAAGCTCAAACTGAAACTATAATACTAATTGATTAGATTTAACATATTATAATAAAGAAATAATAGAATAGATATTTATTTTTCTTTTGGTGAAACATTGCTAAGTTCAATACAAATAACATTGAACTGGATGTTTTAATTATATTAAAGAAAGTCAAAATACATTATAAAGGTTTAATTATTAGTTATTACACTTCCATTTATTATAAATACTCTTCTTTTGAAAATTAAACTAATATAATAGTAATATTAAAAAATAAATGCCTAATTATTATATATAAATAACAAAACCAAGATTAACTCTTCATCAAATATTTTATTAATTATACTGTATCTAATAATTCATTTTTTTATAAAGAATCTGTATCTAGATTCTATTTCTGTAGGACCTGCTCAACTCAGGAATGTAATAAATTAAATTTAAACATGTTTACATTAAGATTATCAAATAAAAAAAAATTAAAAGAATTTGTAAATGTCTCTTTAAGTTCGAGCATGATATTTTGGAAGATGATATTATCTTCTTACAGAGACGGCATTTGGTGCTGATCATATTATAAGAGTTGCTTTCATCTATTTCACATAAAGTAAAATACTTACGTAATTTCAAAAATGGTAAAAGATTCTCATTCTCACTTATAACTGCTGTTACATCAATAGTAGAAGCAATAGAATCTTCTAAATCTATAATGGACATTTACATTTACCTATTAAAATAAATATTAATATATTATTATAAATTTATATTAAATAACTTGTAAGAGCTCTAAATCTCGTAAAATTTAGGAAATGAATAAATATATCTATAAAATAAATGGTGGAATGGAAGTTGATAATGGAAGTTGATAATGGAAGTTGATAGAAATATGAAGATAGATATTTTTTTAAAAAATAATATTTTAATTTAATTTTCAAAATTTTTATTTTATTTATTGCTTTTTAAAAAATTAATTTTTAAAAAGATCGGGTTCGAATTTTAAACAAAATGATCTCGATCCTCAATTTAAGTCAGAATCATAAATCTCGTAAAATTGACAAATTTTTTATCGAATCCAAAATCGTCGATCTTTTGATTCGATCTTTTAACAACTCTGTCTAGATATTATTTTAGACGTATCTGTATCTGTTTTTAGATACTTTTTTAGATACATTTTGATATAGATATTTATAATGACTTATATATTATAATAGCCAAATAATTTCATCAAATATTTAAATAATTTTGGAATTTAGAAAGAAACTGTGTGTTTTGTTTTAATATTGGGATTTATTAATTTCCAGGAAATTTAGAAAATTTAGAAACTTGGGAAATTTTGATAACTTTTCAAATGTTTCGCAAATTGTTTAAAAGTGATTTTAAAATAATATCTCAAAATAAAAAAAACAAATCTCTGATATTAAAATGTTTGCCATATCTATAAAAAAATACGAAAATTTCAGTTAGCATTACCTCAACTTGCAACATTGTAAAACATTTAAGGGTATAGATACTAAATAAAATGTTTAAAATTGTAATTTTCAATTTTAAGAGAAAAAATCAAACACTGTTAATGGAAAAAACAAAACAAAGATTATTTGATGAATTATCAAGATCTTCAACTGATAACAAATAACCTGAGAAAAAATAACAAATTTAATATCCTATTTTTTTCAGTACCCCGCAGCAGCAGATATGATTGTTAATAATGATTTAAATTTTCATACTCAACAAATTTTAAATAACTTTTTCGAAAATGAATGCCCAGATTTTATATTTTTATAGAATATCCTGATATAAAATTGTTATTCATAAAATATAACAATACAATCTAAGTGCCCCGGTAGAAAGGCTTTTTAGTATAGCTAAAAATGTCTTTACGGATTAACGAGGATGCCTTAATGACCAAAATTTTGAAAATATTTTATTACTGAAATCTAATATATTTATAATCATTTAATCATATATTTTTATATATTATATTATTATATTAAAATCTAAAAATTATTATTTTAATTTTGATAAATGTGATATCTAGTCAATAAAGTTTTTATCTCATTTCATACATTTTCACAATAGAATCCTAATTTAGGTTTATGCAATTATATAAGAGTATTAAAAAATTGTATCTGTATCTATATAAATTTTAAAATTGTATCTGTATCGAAATAACTTTTTAGACGATGTATCTGTATCTAGATAACTTTTTTGACTATGTATCTGTATATAGATTTATTTAAAAAGTATCTTTTAACAACTCTGCTAATTATATGCATGGCATATTTATTTTAAAATTTTTCATTATTGTAACATAATATTATTTATTCGTATGACGGATGTCTAGAAAGCGTTATAGGGTAAGCACCTAACACAATGGGTAAATAGATTGCGCTAAAGCTATCTACCTCACTTTCTGTCTTTTTTTAAACTAATTAATAGTCAAGTTTATAAACTCGAGACCATTTTTTGAGCTGCGTAAATAACGGTAGAATATTTCTGTGGATTTAGATAAAAGTGGTGATACAGTTATATCGTTTAAAGCAAAGGCGAAGCCTGAAACTATAATATTTCACTCGTATTTAATATTAAATGCTTTTCAATCAATTTGAGCCTTCTGAATTATCGAAAAATTAGAATCTAAGATTTTATTATTGATAGATATAAAACTAGATTGTTCATCATCAATTAATATCTATTTATTTGACCAGATATGATTTTATTTATTGGGAATTTTAAGTGATGTTAAAGAAAATAAGTCTATCCATTTATATATATTTATGGGATTATTAAAATTTGATGGGTTTATAAAAAATGTTTATATAATTTATAGACGCATGATGACAAAGAACATTTAGCAATGATGCAAAGGATATTAGGCCCCATTCCCTCTAATCTTTTAAACAAATCAAAGTATAAAATTTATTTATTTTAAATAATCTTAATATAAAATGCTAAATCTCTAAATAAACATATTAGAACTTATACTAAATATATATTTAAAGTTTCAAGAAAGATCCCGGAAAAAATCTCATAAAAAACGAACACCAATTTTGTTAATAGTTAGGTCTTAGGAATATTACTTTAAAGTTCCTTGTTATAATATTACTATAATAATTTCCCTATCTACTATCATTCACAGGTATGATTAGATTTCTTCGGTTCCCTTAATACCTGTCCTCCACGCCTTAGTTTTTTTTCAGTAATTGCATTAAACGCCATAATAAATATAAATTAACCTAAAATGGTTCTTGGCAAACCCGTTCAAATCATTATTAGGGTTGGAGTTTGGGGTTTTTAAACATTCCTACTAATTAATTTTTGACCTTTACAATATTTTTTAATTGAGATTAATAAATATGTATTTTGGGAGCTGCTTTTAGCTAGATTGTTTTAAAATTAATAATATTATTAAATACGTTTTATTTTATTATTTAGAGTTTATTTCCTCAATGATGGAAAATTAATTTACGAAAATAATAGTCCTTTAATTCAATACGTGCATAAACAATGCAAACCTTTAAAAGTACAGTTACATTTATCAATTGAAATATTTATATTTTATAATCATATCTTTAAAACCACAACTCACATTCTAAAATAACCATAATTTTATGTTTCACTAGTAGATAATTTTAATAATAGAATTAATGTTTTTAATGCTTGTAATTTCTTCTATTATCTTTTTTAGAGCTAATACTTTGTATGTTTTATATAATCAATTTAAAATATTAAGGACTACATGTTGGCAAGGTCGGAGCAACATTTATTACTGTTTGATTTAATCGCTTTGTTACTTAATTATGACCCTAACCAAAGGATAACTAGCAAGGCTGGACTTGATCATTCATTTTTTATGGAAATGTCTTAGCTTAACGATTAATTAGAACTTTAAACACTTGCCAATATAAATTGAATATTGTGAAGATCATATTTAATTTTTTATTAATTTTTAAAATAATTCAATTTATAGTTTATATTATACTATAAAAACTTTATTTTTACTGCCATGTTATTTTATATTTATCTTTTGTATAATAACGTTATTAAAATTCTGTTTATAGTAATCTATTTTTACCCAGAGAAGATATTTTTTTAATTAAATTGGAATGGAAATATGCACTTTTTTAATAATGATTAAATCACAATGTAAGTTCTCAATTATTTGCCTTTTTAACGGGATTGGTTTTTGAGTTCAAAATTTGAATAGATCTGTAAATGGTTTGAAGAGGGTCTGATTTGGGTTCAAAAATATTAATAAAATATATGAGGTTTTTTTAATAATTATCGCAGCAAACTAGCAGCTCTATCCTTGCATGATAGATTTTCCCCCCAAAATCAAATATATGCATTGGTTAGCTGTTAGGGTATAGGATTAGAACAATTACTATATTATTAGACATTAAAGGCACTACATTTAGTAAAATCCAGAGTTGGGCAGTACCGCAAATACTTGATTATTATGGGAATGACCTATGAAATACCTTAGAAACATTTTATTATTATCCTTCCATTAAGAAAATATTTTTTATTATATAATATTGCAATAAACTAATCAGCTCCAGGTGAAAGGCCATTTATTCGTAGCAAAATGTTTACCCACAAAAGGCAGAGGTTTAAGGAAAATTATTTGAAATTTTTTTAAAAAAATATTAATTTAATTTAATAAAATCCATCAATAATTATTTTAATAAATTTTATAATACTCTTTATTGTTGATAAATATTACAACTCCATAAAATAGTCTGGTAGAATGCTATTAATGGGTTAAAATTAGGCTGTAAACAAACGCGTTCACATTTTGAACGCGTTCGTAAACGGAGTTGGTTTTTTTGAAAAAAATGATGAACGGCTAGTTAAAATTAATAATACGTTTGATTATGTAATCTACCTCATCAATTATTATAAATGTATCAATTATTATAAATATTCATTCTTATTTCAAAATGAGCTTTATAATAATTTTTACTCTAATTATATATTTATGTTCTTTATTTCTAATTTAATAGATAATGATCATTTTATTAAGTATCTTGTATTTAAGATACTTTCGTTTATCAAAAATGAAAGTATTTTATATCGTTTTTACTTGTATCTTTTTGATTTTTTAAAGATTTACAAATATCTGTAAGATCCTTATTTTTACAAAGAATCTGTATCTATGAGGACCAGCTCTGGTAAGATCTTACACATACTTAAGGCTGCCAGAAGCCAATACATTTGTTAGTTTTTACTGTACTACGCGGTTCACTTTAAGGCTTATACAAACCTCACGGACCGAATTAGCACTTTAAAAGATTATTTTTTAACTATTTTTTTTATTTTGTCTTTCTAAATTTAGTTTATACACATCTCTATATTTCTATATTCAGTAGTTTTAAATAACTTATAATTTTTAAAATAGTTTCATTTCCATTATAATACCAAATATTTAAAAGTAGAAGGAAAAAATATTTAAAATAACTTTTGAGTGCAAACAAGACCATGGCGTTCAAGCGATGTCGATCATTGACTTTCTAAATTCAAATTTAGTGCGATACGAGTAGTACTGAAAAGACTTCCTTATGTTAGATAGTACCTTAACATTTTTCTGTTTGAATCAGCGTTCTACATGACAGGATTTTCACTGATTGCAGACCCCCCTCAAAAACCTATGTTCACCCTTCTAAAAAAATTTTGCTCTCATTATTAATTTCACTCTTTTAATTATAATGATAATCCTTTCAAAAATTTTACAAGAATTACTTAATTATTTTATGCTACCAACTATCAAAATTTGTGAATATAAAAGCTAATTTTTAGATAATGAATTCAATTAGAAACCCCCTCATTTACAATGAATGCATTATTTTAGCATTCTGAGCTTGCTGAGAATGTCCAAACCTTTTAAATTACATTTAAAAGGATGGCTGAAAGTTGTATTTAAAAAATAATGTCTATGATTGTTTGCAATATATAGATTTGGTCGATGATAAGCAATATCATTGTATTATAATGGGTCTATAATAAAAGTAATAACCCTCTATTGCGCGACATATCAATAAGTGATTTAATTTTTAAAAAACTTATTTTGTCTTTAAAGGGCCTTTAATAAACTAAAAATAATTTTTATAAAAAAAAATTTTACCTTAAAAAAAATTTCCGTGTGTGTATTTAAATACACAATGCGTGTAAAAAATATTTTTCAATTTCAAACCTATTATAAAATAAAGACATATAATTTTATTATTTGATAAATAATGTAATAAAACAAATTTATATTAATTTTCATGAGTAATCATACATGATGAATGATACACCATATTTGGTACAAATCACTTTAGTAACCAATTTATTTTTCTTTATATTTGGTGTCAATTGATATTCGTTTTTTTATGCTGGCGTTCATATTTTTATTACATTTACACAGTATCTGCTATTGAAATTTTAAATGTTAATAATTGCAGCTGTTCTTTTACCGGCAACGTTAAAGCTACAAAATCTCGCCTATATATTAACCAATATTTATGAGGATCATATCAAATATATGGAATACTATTTACGTGATCTTATGAGATTTCAATATAAAGCAATCCATTAAATATACACCTCCCATATTTATATTGTAAACTTTTATAGCAGCTGGACATGGAATTTTATTTTTCTTTCATTCCTTTCTATCAAACCATTTATAACTTCCAACAATAATTACAGACCTATTATCATGTTAGTAGCATATAATTATACACCATTTACTGTTACCTTCTTCTCGATAAAAGATCCACGCTCCATGTTATATAATTCTTTTTCAGTTGGAAACTGGCAATTATAAATTCTATTAGCTCTCACTGTAGCAATACTCCCTTTGGCGAAAATACTTGTAGTTCTATACCACAGAACCAATTATCAAAACACAATTTAAAATAGAAAGTAGTGGTACCAATAGTTGAAATACCGCATTTCCGCTAGAATCAACATCTGCTGATCTTGAATCAGGAATTTCCTCATCTGATAAAATACTATAATTAGAATCAGAACTATCTTCTGGAATACAATACATTTTGACTATAGATAGCAAATAAAGAACATTTGATAATATAAAAAAAATAATTAAAAAAACCCAAATTCATATTGCATTTGTGCGCATTATGTATCTGGGTACACGTACCTTAAAATTTAAATTTTATATACTATTAATGAATATAACAATATATTTTTATGTAAAACATTTCTTTTACCTTTATTTAATAGGATTTTTAACTTCATGTTCCTTAAAAATTTGTACAAGAGAAATATGATTTATAAAATGGAAAAAATGCAAATATTCGAAAGTTGTATGAAAGACAGCTATCAATATAAAAACTCTAAAATACGTAGTAAACAACTTTCGAATATTTGCATTTTTTCCATTTTATAAATCATATTTCTCTTGTACAAATTTTTAAGGAACATGAAGTTAAAAATCCTATTAAATAAAGGTAAAAGAAATGTTTTACATAAAAATATTTTGTTATATTCATTAATAGTATATAAAATTTAAATTTTAAGGTACATGTACCCATATAAATAATGCGCACAAATGCAATATGAATTTGGGTTTTTTTGATTATTTTTTTTTTTCATTTTTGACAAAATTAACTATAGTAATAAATAAAATATATGTATATCTATTATACATCATTTGTATCAAACTGTAGAAAAATTTATATAAAAATTATGCCTTTTTTATGGTACGGTGGGTCTATTTATCGCTCGGCTGAAAATATCGCTCCGCTGAGAAATGTCGCTCGGCTAACCACATAATAAATTATTTATTACTAAATATCGCTCGGCTAAGAAATGTCGCTCGGCTAACCACATAATAAATCATTTATTACTAAATATCGCTCGGCTATTTATTACTAAATATCGCTCGGCTAACCACATAATAAATCATTTATTACCAAATATCGTTCGGCTGAGAAATGTCGCTCGGCTAACCACATAATAAATAAAATGTCTCTCGACTAATGACAATCTTTTATTACTAAATATCGCTCGGCTGAGAAATATAGCTCGGCTATAAATAATTTTTTATTTATATATTATATTTACGATCATATTCTAAGTGAGCTTTCATTTTCTTAAAATTGAGAATTATTAATTTTTATATAAAATAAGTGTTTGGACAGGTCAAAAAAAATTTTCTATTAGATATTTTAGCTTCAATACTTTTATAAAATTTAATTTAATCATAATCCTTTTTTTTATAAAAGTAAAAAAAATAATATTCTATCCGCTAGATGGCCTCAATATTATTTATTTTTACCAAAAATATAAAAATAATAAATGGGTTTAATATATTTTTTTAAAAATTCTAAATACTACCACGTTAGCCTCCTAAATCAACACACCCACTGAGTAACATGGCCCAATCCACGTCATGTACGCAACTTTCTTCCACTGTACTAAAATTTACTCATTTTTTTACACTCATGATAGTAAAAAAATATTTCTCTATCCTCTAGATGAAATATTTTTTATCATTCAAATTTAGAAAACAAAAATTTTGGACTGGTCTATTTTAACTTTCTACCAAGATTCACTGAAATGTCTAACGGTGTTTTTTTATTGTATTCTTTTCTATATTTTAGTAAATTAATTAGTAGTCTTTTTTAAATTTTACCATTTCCATTGATCAGAGTAATTAATAACGAGAGTAATTCTTTTTATTGATGCATAATTATAAATCATAATTTCACGATATATATATATGATAATAATGCTGTTATAATATAAGTTATTTACATAAAATATAATTTATTCGGCATCGGTGAAGAGAGGATTAAAATATAAATTTAAGATAATATAATTATATCATATCATATCATATTATACACTGGGGAGACGTCCCACAATTAAGTGGGCACTCTACCACCCCATAGAGGGCGTCTCCAGTGCAGTGAATTTGCATTCACTGTTTGGCAGAAAATTTACCCTACTGTCTGGGCCCTGTTTAATTTGAGTGGGATGACAGGTACCACTCGTGGATAAGCCAGGATTCACAAAGTTGACAGTAATTTACCCTACTGTCAGGGTCCCGTTTAATTTGAGTGGGATGACGGGTACCACTCGTGGATAAGCCAGG